CCGCCCGAGGCGGTCCGAGCGTCCTCACCGGCCCTTCTTCTGCGGCCCGGTGGTGGTGCTGCTGGGGAGCTCCCGGTCCCGGCGCGGGAGGCGCCGAGGCGGACGGATGCGGGTCGTTTATGGGGAAAAAAGTAGTCGTTGAGAAAGACGCCAGATTGTTCAGAAGCCTACTAAGCCCATGTACTTTAAAGTGTTAAAGCTGTTGAAATCGGGACAATTTGAGACCTTTTTGCCCTCATTTCTGAGGTACTTGTCCCGTTATATTTAAAAGCTGCTGCTGTGTCGGAGGGGCCCTGAGGGGGCAGTGCCCGTCCCCGGCGGCGCTGCCTCCGCAGCCCGGAGCGGCCCGCCCGGGCTGGTCACTCGCGCTGCGGGGCGGCGGGGGAGCCGGGCCCTGCTGGAGAGCAAAGCACCGAACTAAGGCAGTTTGAGCTCGTACCTCTGGGAATGACCGCTTTAAAAAACTTCTGCTTTTCTTACGCTTGGCAACATTAAAGTTTGAGGTTTGTCGCAGACTAATTTTGTACCAGTTTTTGGTGATAGAGTTAGCAGATTTTTAGCAGCCTTTCCAGTTACTTAGCTCAGTATTGGTAACTCAATATATACATAACGAACAGATCTATTCATATTGCTTTCTTGTGTTTGTGACTGTATCTGCATCTACATTGGTAGGTTGAACTTGGATTGAAAATTGGGGGAAGGGGAGATATTGCGGAGAATTCTTTTACACATTTTTCAACACCCATTTGCCTATGTCTTGTGGTGTTACCATAATAATGCTACAGTAATAAGGCGTTAACAGTGACTGCTTTGGATCTGTTCTGAGAAGGGCTGCACAAGACAGTAATAAACCCATGAGTAGTTATTTTGCTTAAGGAAATAATGCCTGTGAGGAGACAACAATACTGTCATTCCCCTAGTGATCACTGTATTGTCACTCCCTATGGGGAAATTCATTATATTACATTTAACCTGCTAAGGCAACCATTACTTTTATTATTATTTTGTCCCTGAGGCAAGACATTGTCTTGTGTAAAACATCTTAAAAAAAAAAAAAGTAATTTATATTTATTATGAATAAACTAGGCTTAACAAAATGCACTCAGAAACCTCACTTTTCCAACATAGTGTATTTTTAAGCTAGATAGAAAAGATCATAAAACCAAGACATTTTCACAGAAGGTTTTCCTTTCTGTTTATTTTCTTTAGCATTATAACTCCCTAGAAAGATCCTGTTCCTCATAGCGAAGTCGGCAGCTTTCCCTGGCTTGAGAGACGTGAGTCTTGCAAGTCTCTCAAGCTGTTTATTCATTCCTCACACAGAGCTCCAGCCCATGAAGCCTTCTGTCACAGGATATCACTTTCAGACAAATCTAGTGGGGTCTGAGCATCCTCCCATCCACCATGTGTTGGAAAGGCAACTTTTTGACCCGTTGCAGTAGCAAAAACTGTATTTTTTCACATATTTTAGGTTTTCATAACTCTGTATTTACAGTTCATTTTTTATTTATAGTTTGTGCAATTGTATTGTTTTGTAGCTCTGTAGCATCTTTAAGGAATTTCTTTTTTAGCTCCACAGCAGCTGTATAAGGTGAATGTTATTATTTTTTCTTAATTTTATGCAAACAGAATTTTGAATAGCTTTCCAGTAAATAAAACAAATCCCCAAAACTCAGGAGGGATTTTTACAGCATCAGTGGAGGATAGAACCTCCCCCACTGCATGTAGTGATCACAGTTACTCACACCTGCAGTAGCAGTGGGCCCTAAGGACTTGTGCAAGGTAACAACAGAATAAATGTACAAGCAGCCCCTCTGAATCAAAACTGTTCTTTTTGCTAACAGAGTAACTCTTTATGAACAGTTATTCTGCAAGGAAACATCTGTGTAAGAAGGAAGTTGTTGGAATACTTGGTGTAATGGGCATGAAATTTCTTGGGTTCCTTTCTCCCCTCCTAAAACCTGTAGCAAACCAATATGGGAAAGCAGCAGATATGCAACTTAATTGTTAAAATTCTCTGGGGATCCTTTTGTGGTAAAGTGGTCTGTTCAGAGTAGCTTCAGCCTCCTTTGGTGTGGGGTTAGAGTTTGTACTTAAACGACCTTCACATTCTCACTGCATGATTTACAGACGCAGCTTAAGGTACTCGGACCTGTCTGTTGGAGGCCATTAAACTTACATCTCTTCTAACAAATCAGTCACCAGCTGTGACAACCAGGGCTTGCAACACTTCAGAGCAGAGAAACTTGCACCAAAGGCTGTGTGGAGCTGCCAGCTTGGTGTGTCCCACTGCCTGTGCTGTGGCTGTGGCCAGCTGAGGCCATGGTAGCTGACAGCCGTCTTGCTGCCCCATACCACACTGGGGTGCATGAGTAACAGTGTGTTTCCTGCTCTGGGATTTAAACCTCTAAAGCAGATGAGCAGGGGCTATTTAACCATTGTCTCGGGTACAATGGGCAGTGAAATGGCAAGACTATGCTAGATATACTGTCCTCCTTACAAAACTTTATCTGCAACCTAGTGCAAGATGTTTGTTATCTATTTCTAATTGCTTAAACCCACTTGATTTGGCAAACAAAAAACTGAAATATAGTGAAAGGTGGTGGTACCAGTAGTATTTAAGGTCAGTTCTTGCTGTGCACATTAAAAACTTTGTTGCAGCAACATGCTGGCAGTAAGTTTGCTTAACATCCAACTGGCAAATAAGCTAATCTTTGATAAACAGGAACAGATAGAAGAAGTCCAGAATAGTAAACTGGAAGATGAGCTGAACTTTGACATGTACAAACAAATAGGAGTGAAAAAGATTTAGTGTATTATACTGTCTTTTAATTTTACCCAATTAGCACAGCAAGGTAATTGTGCATTGAGATGTAGTTACCACTGTGATATGCTTGAGAAGAGCTAGCTGGTTTAGTGTAAACCTTTACAGTTATTTCTGAATTCTCTGGCCTACATTGTAACCACAAGTAAGCCTTACCTACTTAATGCTTTCCATTAAGCTCTGCTGCTATTTTACTATTGCTATTTTGATTCAAAAGATAGAGATTTTTTGATGTGTTTGTCATCTAGGGTACAGGGGAAGCAGCCAGGGATATAAAAGCAGGTGAAAAATGAAGAGATGGAATGTAAGCTTTTCACTGTAGGAATGTTGTTAAGCATACAGAATCATAAGATTAAAAGATACAGAGCCAAATCCACCCCTGCTTCTGATTAACTTCTGTATAATGACATTAGAGGTAATTTGGCCATTTATATTTAATCTGAGTTGCATAGATGGGCAGCTTGAAGTAGGTGGCTGTGAATGGAATGCCATTTCATACAAATCACTTGCCTAAGTATTGGCCTAGTCTGATTGAGAGCAGCTGTTATCTCTTGCATTTTAGTAGCACCAGATCAGAGATATTAACCATGCTTAATTATACATATAACCACTAAAGCCAATGATGGAGCTCATTCAGAGTTGAGAACAGGTAAGAACTTTCAGAACAGTGTAAGTTCTTAGTCTCAAGGGGTCCTTACAGATTGTTGGTTTTTTGATTAAAAAAAAATACTCTATTTTGCAGATTTTTAAAAATTATTTGTAATGTTCCGACTCATCTGTGGAGAACTTTTTTGGAACATACTAGGAATCCAATGTCACTACACACTGGGGAAAAGGAGGAAAAAAGCACTAGTGGCTGGGAAAACAGAGATTGGTTTTGCTATGTGACAGTCACTACACCTGTGTGGTATTGGAACAGATGCTTGCTGCCCTCTTGGTCTGATGGTAAATCATTCTGTTTGTATTTTCCTTACTACTGTAGCTTCTTCCCTCTTGCTCTGAAACCATGCTCCAATATGCTCTATTGCTAGAATGCATTTCTTTGTTGTTACAATTCTGATGTTTGCTTATTGCTAATAAGTCTTATTGCCTACATTCTCATCCCGAGGCATTTATTTTGTATATAGGATATGCCTTGTAATTTTTGTAGCTCAGGGCAGTGTTGGTTTGCAACTAATGAAACCTGCATTTCTAAATGTTATAATTTGAATAAGCCATCTCTTACAACAGTCTGTGGTTCAGCACCTTTTAGAATGTTTTTACTGCATATCCAACACACTTCATAGGATATTTTTTACTATTTATACAATATATTTGCTTTCACTATTACTTTTAAATGTTTGTTGTTACATGCCAAGGTAAAGTGAACTCCTAATATCCAGTCGTGCTATCAGGCCAGGATCATTAGAAGCTGTAGGGAAAAGTACACGATAATTCTCCTAGTGTTTTTATTAAGCTTGCTATCTTGATGAGGAAATAATGACCACTGGCAGACTACAAATAAAGAAGTTGGAAATTTTACCCTGTTCTGTTCCAATGTGCCTGAATGGAAAGTGAGCTTATAATGGGTCCTTCTTCCCCGTTGCCATCCTTTCTCAATCAGACTTCTTCCTGCTGTTGTTATAAGAGCTTATCCTTCTGCAGATGTTAGATAATATGATTTTGTCTGTCTGCTTCGCATAGATTTTTTTTTTTTAAACTTTCCCGTCAGTAGGGTTGTGGCGCATTAAAACACACCGTGAGCCCTCTGCTGGCACTTTCTGCTTTTGCTTTAGGCTGTGGTGGAGGTTTTTCCTTCCCAGCTGTGCTTGCTTGAGCCTAAGGAGGCAGGATAGCGTCTGTTTAACTACTTTAATCGTGCTGACTTTTAACAATTTAGTGAACGTGCGCAGGAGTTGTTGTGTTCACTGCTGTAACCGGTGGTTCGGTACCTTTGGCGGTGAACTCTCATCCTCGCTAGCTCGGCGCAGACACGAGTGTTTCCCGCGGAGCTGCCGCGGCGGCGGTGCGGAGCTGGGCCGTGAGGAGCGGTGAGGCTGCGCCCAGCCGCGCTCCCGGCAGGCCGGGCAGCTCGCAGAGCCGGCCGTGCCGGGTGCGATGCCCGTGCGCTCCCCGCTCCAGGCTGCCTGGCGTGCCTGGCAGTACGGCTGCGCTGCCCAGCGCCACCGGCTGACGCAGAGCTGCTCCAAAACCTGGAGGTGCCGTGTGGAGCGCCCTGAGTGAGACCCGAGGGAAGAGAGCTGCGTTCTGCTGGGAGCGGCTGCTCGCTGTTTGGGTTATAAAAGCTCCGTATGCCTCTCAGAAAAACATCTGAAAACTGGCAGATTGGCATCCCTGTTTTTGCACGACACCTGCCTGTGATTTTAACACTTTCCTTCCTGGCACACTCCAGTTAAGCCTTTGCAAAGATTTCTCAGACTGTGTCCTTCCTCAGTGGGCAGGTGCCATCCAAACCAGTTCAATGCAGGCTCTGGGATTTTTTCAGTACACTCACGGAGTATACGTGCTCTAAATGCCTACAATACAGAGGAATCCAGCTACTTCTAATGGGATGCATTTGCAGAGAGGAATTCCTCATTTAAGATGGGTAATAAGCAAACGATATTTACTGATGAACAGCTAGATGCCTATCAGGTAAGATGTCTTGGTTTGCATTAAGGGATTAAAGGGAGTAATCTACGTATGTTTATGATTTGGGGTTTTGTTTGTTTTGGGGAGTGCTTTTTTTCCAATATAATTGAAAACTTTCTTTGTAACCTGCATGTATATATCCTACTGTTCCTTCCAGTAGCTGTAATAATATTCTAAGGCTGGGTTGTTGAATATATTAATTTAATTCCCTCTCTGTATAGAGGGAGAAGGGTCACATCCTCAGTGTCTGAACTAGGAAGCAGAATAAAGATTGTGACTAGCTTGACAACAGTGTAGCACCTTCTCTCGCTGATGCCTTTTGCTCACAATAGAGTGGAAAGGAAAAAAATAGATCTTGTCTAAATTAATTTCTCTTAAGGATAAGTCAGAGAAATATGCTTAGTGTAATTCCAGAATAGGTATCGTTATACTTGTATCCACTCCTGGAAAGCAATTTCTAACCTCATTGTAAGTAAGTGTGCATTTTATGTCAGGGATAACTTGGTGCTTCTTTATTTGCTTAACATTGCATAAACTGCTTTTAAATAGGGGATCCTTTTTTTTTTTTTTTTTTTCCCTTACCCTCTTTTAAGTCATGTTACAGCACACTGCAAATCTCACTGAAATAGATTTCAGGAACCTGTCTGCACAGTGGGCATCTTGAACAAGTTTCTGAAAATACAGTGAAGCAAAGCATTGAGTAGAAGTGTGCTCAAGAAGGAGGCAGCTGACTACTTATTAAGAGAGGCAGCCAAGGCTGGCTGCATTGCTCTGTTCTCCTACATGACAAACACTGAATTAGCAACACAGAAAATCAAGATCTAGTTTATCTTGTGATAACCAAAGGACACATACAGACCCTTAAGGGACTGGGTAACTTAATAATATTTTACCTTTGTGATCTTTGATTAATACTATTGAAGTAGAATTTAGTATTTTAGTTACTAATTTTATTTCAAGTCACTGCTAACATGGACTTGTCACAGGTGTAAATATTGAGCCATGGGGTGAGGCCTGGTGTATATGCTAAAATGCTTTCAACCGTTATTCCACACTGAAAATAAGGCATAAACTAAATGCTTTTATAAATACATAGTGGGGGGAGGGGTGGTTTGTCATTGTGGGAAATGTGACAGTGTACCATCTTAATTTCCACTTTGTCACATTCTCACCAGTAGTCTGCAATATATTAATCTAAGTTAATGATCTTAGACTTAGCAGTCCAAGATCCAAAAAAGCTTTTTCACATCCCTGCTGGATAGGCGAGAGAGAAATCAAAGATCTGTAAAGCACCAGTCTTCCTACTAACAATAGAAGTGAACACAGAACAGAGCACAACTGCAGTGAAACAAAACAAAATCTAAATGTAATTAATGTTATCCTCTTGACATAAACTGGCAAATGCAAGAGCTGAAATGTCATCCCTAATTCAGTGCTCTTCATGCAGAAATTGCCTCTCTCTAATGGCTTTTGCAGCCCCTGCCTTTCATAATGCTGGGTAATTGATCTCAAAGCCTGGCAGGAGTTTGGCCCAGTGGATTGAGTCGCCTTTGGGATTTCTCTGTTACAGGCAGACTTGCAGTTCATTAGTGTAGAGCTAGACAATTTTTGACTATGTTTGGCAAGTACCATAAAATAACAGGTTTCAGGACAATAACTGACCTGCAGAATTTGTCAGGAAGGAGCATTAGCCTCTTACTGTGAAGAATCAGATAAAGACATAATTTTGATGGTGATTTGCCTCTGATCTATTAGTTTTGCATCTCTCTTGAGTCTTTTAAACAAAAAGATCCTGGGCTGACTGCTGGAGCCACCCACACAGAGAGCTCTTGCCTCTCCATGGCATCTTGGGGGAGACGGCACTTTGTAAGTGGAGCCGTTTGACTTGGAATTGGCTGTCTTACCTGCCTAGTTCTCATTTGTGGAATTTCTTCAGAATAGCCAAAGGAAGAATGTGGCAATGTTTCCGTAATTTTTTTAGTGCAGGTTTTTCATGTCTTGAGCCAGCAGCTGAGTTACCAGGGCCTCTAAACCATGGGCCAAAGTAAAACACTGTGTACCACAGTCCACTTTGCAACAGTCTGTTGTGCACATCTGTATCCCAGTGACCAGGAAGGCATCTACATATAAATTGCTTTTATAAATTGATCATTGAGTCTTTTTTTTTTCCCCTAAAGCAGTTTCTTGTGAATTCATGTGTCTGTGAGTTAGTTCTGTACTCCTTACAACAGTGGTCCAGTGATACTATGAACAGCAGTACAGTGTTCATAGTATCAGCATTCAGAAGCAAAAGTGTCAGTCTTTTTTGTAAAATATATCTTGGTTGTCCTTTTTTCTTTACCTCCTCACAGTTCCTGTTGGTAGACTGTTCAAAACCTCACTCACCTCATGGTTAGACTTATAATTTCTTTATTGACATCTATTTCTGGACATTGTATTATCTTGTTGTACCTTCTATTAAAATTGCTTTGAGCTTATAGCACCTAGTATTGCTTCAGGAGGAAAAAATTTATAATTTAAAAAAAAAAGTGTTTTATATGCTTGTTCCGTAAAAGACACTATGAGGTGAAAAAGTGCCTAAAGTTCATATGCCTAAAGTATGATAAAACCTATGCAAGTGGCTTTGGCTTTAGAGACTGAAGATTAAACTGCAGAAAAATCACCTGTTTGAAAAGCTAGCATACATAAATGTCAGATCATTAGTGTGATATTAATGAAATAAAATAAATAAAATAGTTTGATTTATCTAAAACTTTCTGAAAGGCCTATGTATGCATGTAAATTTTTTGCATGTAAATTGTCATATTGAAGAGCCAGTTGTTAGCAGAACTTCTAATTTTAAATAAACAATTGTAAATGTGGTCACCCACAGGATAACTTCAGTGTTTTCAATGGACAATTTTAAATGCTCTTCATTAAGACTGGTAGCCCGTTAAAACTTTGTACAAGAGACCTGTAATTGAACTTGATAATATTAAACCATTCAGGATTGGTTGGGGGTTTTTTGTGTGTTTTTGTTTAGTTTCGTTTTTTTTAAATTCAAGTCATTAGAAGCAAAGTAAAGAAAGGAGATTTGCAGCTTTTCAGTCTAACACCTTGTCGTAACACCTGCTATTAAGATCATATCACCTGTTATTACAACAGTGTTCTTGTTGGCAGCTCTTTACATTTTCATAAGATTAGTGAAATGTTTTGCAAATTAGGCTTTTGCGAGCACTGGGCTACTCATAAAGATTCACATCATTTAAAATACTAGCCTTGTAAGAAAAGGAATTTTACTGGGCATTTATGATTCTTACGCCCTTAGAGTTCTGCCTGTGGTTTTTAGGGTTTTTTTTGTGAATGGGGCTTTTGGTTGTTGAGGGGTTTTTTAATACAGAAAATGTGAAATCCAACCAAGGTCTGGTGAGGGAAAAGGTAAGTACTGATAGGCAAGAAAGATGGGTTTCATTGCAATAAAACATTTTAAAATTAAGATTTTAAAAGCTGCCTACAGATTTTGGAGGTCAAGTCTCATATTGAGAAAAGAAATTTAACTGAAATTTTAAGGTGTTTTGAGTGTGTACAGATGCTTGAAGCAATGTAAAATACAAGTATGCTGTAAAGCAACTTATTTATTCATTCAGAGCCATTTATTCACCTTGGTACACAGCATTTCTAACTGAAAAACAATTGTATTGAGTAGAAAATGCAGAGAAACTGTAGTTGGGCTGTGGACAAACTCCTGCACTGTTCAGTCAATCTCATTTCCTTTTCTGGGATTACTTGAATCAAGAGATCTGAATTCAGTACAAATTCAGTGATCTGTTTGTTTGTTTTATTTCTCTTCTAGAACCTAGAGATTATAAGGCATAATACTGGTTTTATTGCAAACCATTTATATTTGTTCATTAATGGTATTATTTACTCTGCATTATTTAATGCAGTCTCAAAACAAACTGATATTTACCCTGGCAGTCTTATAGGCAATATTGCAATACAATATAGTATGATGAAGTAATGACTTTCTTCTTTCACACAAGATTTTCTCTATTACAGAGCTCACTTTTTTGCTTTTATCAAAATTGAAGTCAAAGTGCAATTAAACTATATTTCATGAGAATTATGCAAAACCAGATTAAACTAATTATGTTTTGATCTGTCAAGAAACACCATTTCTAAAGTAAAACAGGTTCATCAAGCTGTCTTTTTAAAAGCCATACAGACTTCACCTAGGGTCTTGGAAAATTAACCCTTTGCAAGAATACAAGTGTATTCATTGGTTCCCTGGGATATTCTGTAAAAAGTATTTTTCATTTAATACAGTATTGCTGTTATTGTGCAAGTAAAAGTAGTATAATAATGGAGCAAGTTTTTTGTGAAAATATCCTTTGGTCGGGTTCTTGTTTCATGTTACCATTTGGTGTATCTGTAGATTGAACAAAATTACTTTTGTTGTCAGTTTGCTTTTTTTCAGTCCTTGCTAATGTCTGATTTGTTTTTACTCCCCTGTTGCCATATGAATATGTAAACAGGTTCTTACAGATGCAGATTTTTTTCCTTCTGAAACTTGGTGTTTTGGTTGGTTTGGGTGTAATTGTGAAGTATGTATGATGACAAGTAAGGATGAGCTGTGTGGTAAAATTTTCATTGGTGTTCTGATGCAAACAGCATTTTTAACTCATTGAGTTTGTTAACTCTTTATACACTAACAGTGATGAAAATACATAAATATCTTGCAGGCCCAGTCTTGCACAACTCTATGCCAGTCTTAGTCGTGTGAAATGTAGAACAAAAGTATTGCATTTGTAAAACATTACTGGAACAGAGTTAATAATAGATCTTATATAAGAGTTAATTTGCTTCTGTCTGGACCAGATTCTTGGTTGCTTCACAGGATGATATTTTGATGGTGTTTTGATTAAATGCTTTTACACACATTTTGTACTTTGGCACAGTACAAAATGTCATTTGCGATTTTAAAAATGAAACCTCTGAAGTAATTTTCTTTAAATATTACCTTTTAAGGTGCTGCAGCATCCAATAACTAGCATTTTTTAAGAGCTGCTCTCTGATAGCTATATGGTTTCTATGGTTTCCAGTATCTGCATTATCTTCGAGGCTGGTTGGTTTTTTTTGTTTGTTTGTTGTTTTTTTTTTTTTTTTTTATTTGCAGTGATTTTATAAGACTGATTAATATTAATTTTGTATTTATAAAAGTTTCCAATTAAGCTGTTGCAGGATCAAAGTAAACCTGACCTTATGAAACTATACATATACAAACCAGAATATATATGTATTGTCTTAGAAGAGAAATATGCATTTAATGGCTTTCAAAAATACTGTTTCACAGCATATTTGAGTGTTTCTATTCTTTCATTCTGTTGTTAATTCCTCCAGTTTTTGTTCTGTAGAGGAATGTTTTGCATACCTCCATGAAATTAGCTTTGTTTCAGAGCTGTGCTTTATGCACAGTACTTGTTTCTGGGAGTGGTGATTGGTAACCTCCCATTCACTGGACTCTGCTGCCATTCATGAGCTGTGTGCTGCTCTCTGGAACTGGCAATCCATCCCCAGAGCACCTGGCACGTGGGCTGAACGGAGCCACACCAGCTGGTGTGCTGGATGGACACTCTACAGACAGTTAAGCAGCAGCATTGGCAGAGCATCTCTCTGTCCTTTTTTGCTTTGTTCAAATCAATGTAGAACTCAATACAAAGCAGAACCAACCAAGGAGTTTGCAGTCAAGTCCTGCAGGTGACTGGACAAGGTGGTGGACCACTGTATTTCAGTCTGTTCTGTCCTAAATCTGCATTCACCTGACATAGGAAATAACAGAATAAAACTAACAGCGTGTGCATGCTGCTCTGCTATAAAAATTAAGTTTTGAGAGCAGAGACTGTTAACTGCACTTTACAAGCAATGCTGAGTGACTTGCAGAAAGTCCAATTACCAGCCATGAGCCAAGCTACCTGTGGAACCTAAATACACCAGCTGTCTGCCTCTTCTCTTTTCAAAGTATTTTAAGAGGCAGTTAAGCCATCTAAATGCTAAATTTGAGAATCAAGTCCCATTATACAAGGTCATGATCTCTTGGAAATCAATGGGAAATTTATTGCTTGGTTGTATTCACTTTGTTACAAGATGTTAAGTAGATAATTGCAGATTTGTTCCAGTGATATCTTGTCTCCAAACAACCGCCAGTGGTCCCATGTTGGACTTGTAATTTACTTGATTATTAGGGAGACGAGGACAGACTGAGTGGGAGAGTTGATCTTGGAAAAGGTGCATATTTGTTCTCAGGGGCTGGAATAGGTGACCTGCCAAGGCAAAGCCTCTGTTCTCAAGAAGCTCAAGCTCCCGAGGGCCTGCTGTTAGCATAAATCTTTCAGGCCATTGTATAGCACTAGAAATAAAGGCAATAATTCCCAGGATCAATTCTTGCCAGTAATGTTGAACTGATAAGAATTATGAAAACTCTGGTAATGTTTATTTGTTTTATATTCAGTTTCTGCTTTTCTAGCAGGACTCCCAGACATTTTAGTGTCCAGACAGAACAGAGAGGTTGCTTTTTGTGTTCTTAGTAAACTCAAATACTATCCACAAAATAGCAAATGTGTTCCATGATATCTCTGGCTTGCAGGAAAATCAAAGTTATCATGTGCATAAATGACAAATGCTTTCCAGAGGCCACTTCACCTTTCCTAATGAGAGAGTGAATTTAACATGTTAATTTATTATTTATTGTCCTTCATTATGAATTTTTCTGTATGATTGGAGTAGCCAGAAGAAAATTGGATGATTCACCTCCATGTTTCTTTGGCCAAAAGTCTTCAATTAAATTGGAATTAAATTCCAGCAATTATAAAATGTAATTATGTTATTTAGACCTTTTTTTCCATCATGATTTTAATCCAACTGAGGGCTGTGATTTCAAAAAAAAAAAAAGGAAAATTAACTCAGTCCTGCACCCCTTTCCTGCCATCAACAGATATTTGTTTCACCTTCGTCTCTTGTACCAGCACTGCCAATGCTATATTCTAAGTCAATAAAAGGAAATTATCCAAGCTGAAAATGTGTCCATTATTGCTAGGTTCATTTACAAACACATTAGTTCCTTCCTTCAGAGTTCTCTGATGCAGTTATTCTGCTCATCAAGGTGAAGTCTGCATAGAGGAACAGGCAGAAATAAAAGGGTAGGAGAAGCAAGAGTGATGGCTGGACTTCCCTGTCAGAGGTCACATAGAGCTGCGGTTTTGCACTTGCCATTTGACACCAGACAGGCTTTTTTATGGTAAATTGTTTCATAGCTGGCTGGATCAAGAGTATAGGCCAGGTCACAGTGAGTTTTTGGTGCTTTGATCCTGAGTAGCTTGAAGATGTCTCTTAAGAGTGAGCCCATTCTTGAATTTTTTTGGCACCCTTCATCCCAGACAATTCTATGCAATTGGCAGGTGTAATTGAAATAGAGCTGTCAGTAACGGTGGTCAGGTAGATAGTTGCAACTGCTTCTGCTATAGAGGTTTTCAGTATTAGTGGGGTTTCGGTTACATTAGTAAAAAACTTGACGATCAAAAACCAGGCGGGCAGCAGTGTTTATTTTCAAGGTCATGATGCAACTCAGAATAAAATATAAAAAATGCGCGGACTGTCAGCAAAAATGGTTCATTATCTGACCTAATTTGTCTTCCAATAGCATTTTTGCAGGACTTCTGCAAGGTAAAGGGTAACTTTTCCTTTTAATCTTTGTCTCCATTTGTATATCGCTTTCCTGTCAGCTTTCTAGTTAAGTGGCTGCTGTTTTCCCCAGCCTGTATAATTGGAGATGATTGCTGCTGAGGGCATTACAATTATTTGTGAGATTACACCTGCCCTTTCTTAGTAAATGAAGTGTCCTTAAGTGACAGTTTGACTGTGTTGATTGTGTGGAATTAAGGAAGACTTGACCAGCTGGCTCCAATGTCACTTTGTGCGGTTGCAGACAATGTGACATCAGTGTCAGCAGCTCCCAGAGCGCTTCCTCCTGGGCCTTGTAACCGCACAATCCACTGAAGGAAGAGCTGCTGCTCCAGGCACTTTGTGTGGAGGACAGCAGGGCAGCTCAATAATTGATACCTGCGGGACTGATCGCCTTCCTGGACACCCGAGACAGGCTGTTTGCTTTTGCCAGCAAGGGATCCTTTGCTCTTCCCCTCCTTGGAAGAAGCGGGCATCTAGCCCCAGTGAGTCTCAGCTTGAGAAAGAAATACTTTTTCACTGGTTGACTGAAGAGCAGGACTTGTAGAGACAAAATACTTGTATGTACCCTTCAAGTACGACTTACCAAGTCTGATACTGTTATCTTGTCACAAGCTGATTTTCAAAGATGATATTTTCTAAATATCTTTCCATTAAAGGGGGAAAGCTACAAAGAGCTGAATGGTTAGGCAAATGCCCTGCTACATCACATTGGCCTGTGAGAGAGGTGGGTAATCAGAAAGAATTTTCTGTGTTGGTGGTTGTCCCCTATATATACAACCTCAGGAGCTGGCTCTAAGATCAAGTTATTCAAGTTATTCTTGTTTCAAGTTAATCTTCAGTATTCTCTGAATTGATGAATGATGTTCTCAACTGTTATCAAATATTTCCACTAGTGTTCCTAGTCTTAGACACAAGGCAGAATTTCCATTAAATGCATACTAAGTAAGAGTGGAGATCAGGAGATTGTTTTTGAATGGGATGGGACTGATTATTTTTTCCTCACAGCACCTGAAATTATATCTTTTTTTGTGACTGAAGTAGAAATGCATGAAATGCCAACTCTGCCACTGCTCATATTCTGGTTCTTTGGTGAAGTGTTTGAATTCTAGTGTAGCAGAGGTGTTCATGAAGTGAAATAAACCAATGTAAATTCAGTCACATCACAGAGCCATTTACAATGCAAATGAATGCTTGTATCTCTTCTCTCAAGTTCAGCAAGCTCTACTTTTGCATTTTAGTTATTTCTAGTTCTGTGATAGCACAGGGAGAGTTGAATGGCTTGCTCCTGTTCAGGGCAGGGGCTATCCATTTATCCATGCTCCTAAAATACAGGAGTTTGCAGCCTTCAGCAAAGTGACCACAGTGCAAACTGTTTGTTAGCAAAAAGAGTTAATAACTAATAAATAACTACATAATTTTATTACTAAACCAGTTGTCTCCAGCAGGGGGATACTTAAAGTAAGAAGACAGTTTTTGTCATCAACAACAGATTGTTGTTTGTAGTTTTCCATGTTCTTTTAATTAATACGTTTGGCGTATACCTTCTGTTTTGGATTTAATTTTGTTTCTGGTGTGGTCATTCTACATTGTAGATATATCTCAGCAACCTGTTTTTTCCTCCTGAACTATCACAATATCAAGATCTTTCTTTTTACTGATAGGCCCATATTGAAATGTTCCTGTTATTTTATAGTGTATATTGCTTTCTGAGTCAAATGTAGATGGCACCCAAATGGCATCTTTAATGTTTTTCTGTCAGATCTGAGTTTCCTTCCAAAAGGAAAGGAAATAACTCTTTGCAGTTGTTTTCAATATTTCTGTAGTACAATGATACAATTTGTTTCTTTAACAGGATTGCACGTTCTTCACTCGGAAGGAAATCCTTCGGTAAGTAAATTCTTTTAAATTTCTCCTTCGTGTTCCATGTGGAAGGGGCTAAATCTTTTTATCTGACTTGTGAGGAAACCAGATAATGCCTGTTATTCTGCAGGAACTAATTGTATAGAATAGAGTAGGATTGGATTTAAGATACACTTATAATGTATAATTGTCATAAGGTGGTGATTAGCTTAAAGTGAGTATCATAGACTATTTTAGGGTTGAGCCAGTGATTTGTATGAAAGGGATTTGCTGCTTTTCTGCTCAGTGATACCAGTGAGGGCACATCCTCCAGTCAGTGTATAATCCAGAGGTGTTTCTACATGTCTGAGGTGAAGTTTTAGTAAGCAGGAATAAAATGGGTTATGAGTCCCTGGTTAATTAGCACTTACTGATTTAGCACCTCCCTGTTTCAGTGAAGGGGCAACCAGGTACTGCTGGGCACTTATTTACCCTGCAGGATGCTCACAGGGCTGATGTGGAGGAAATGCAGGTTGAGTCCTCTTCAGGCTGAACTGAATTTCTTGTGCAGCTGCTGACTTCAGTGAGATGATCCAACAAGGAGCATCCTTACAAAAAGAAAAAAAAAAAGCCCTGTCTCACCATCCATTTGCATAGCTGTTAATGACTGTTGTGTAGGTGGGGATGAAGGAATTAATATGGCAGCTTCAATTTAGATTGCTATAAACTGATGTAAACCAGCATGAGACTGCAATTAGGTGAAACGGGCTAAGTGTTTTTATCTGTCCCTACAGGGAAAGCAGCCCATCAAAACCCCAAACAACAGTAAATCTATTTTCTGCTGGTTTAATAAGCTGAATCAGCTCTCTGAAGGATCAGATGAGTGCCAAAGCTGGCATGAGAGCCACAGTGAGCAAATGCAACTGAAAATGAGAAGAGCATTTCCCTACCAGTAACGTGTTAGATTGACTTAGACACTGACTTTAGAATGCAAGACTTTGGTGTCAACAGCAGCTCAAGTCAACGTAAATACAGGCTGTGGTCAGAGGGGTTGAAGACATATTTTTTGATTTGTAATCTGTGTGTGGATAATGTGCAAATTATTAGAAAATAGTATAACTTATTAATTTAAAGTGAAGAACAGTTTAACACAAAATGCTGAAAATGGATCTAGAAAAAAATATAAAGTAAGACTGCAGCAGAGGTAAGTGTGCCTGGTGAAAGAGAACCATAGCTCACTATTGGTGTTTGATAGCTGTTTATCACAAAAAAAACCAAAATACACTCCTAAGTCTTGGTTAAAGATGGTTAATTTTTGGAAGTGCTGATTGCAGCTATGAGCATTCAGTCATGGGCACAGGGCAAGAACATATTAAAAAATATTGGTTATTATAGACATAGTTATGTTATCACTGACTCAAAATATTATCTAAAATATTAATAGGACACCTGACAAATTTTTAGAGCTGTTACTGGTTGCTTTGGTGGTGTTAGGACTTTGAAAACATGCCCCCATTTTCTTAAGGAGAATTTCCTTTCTTAAGGAAATTTAGACCAATGTGTGTAGCTTCAGGACACAACTTTTCTGCATGGAGAGATGCCAGAACACACTGGTAGACAATCAGTCTGTAAGTGCCTAGAACTTAATACATGCTCAGAGGTAGCCACTTCAGATTTGTTAAAAGAAAATCTTCCTGTGAGTATCTGCTTTTGTAAGTCAGAGAAAAGAAGCAACTGCAACGTCTTTATTTTGGTAAAGACTTCTACTTATTCCAGTTTGTGTTAGTCCTTTTCTACTTGTGTAAGTGCACTGAACTCTTGGTCAAAATACTCCTGAACATAGAAAATTGGTGAGAATGGTAAGAAACATTGAGATGAAGTGAGTTGCAGATGCTATGAAGATCGAGATTCACTTTTTCTAGTGTACTCAGTATGTTAGACAAATTACTAGAGTCAAAGTGAACAAAAGAAAATTCACACACTCAAGTCCTAAGAACTGAGAAAAAAATTGCAAGTGTAGAATGGAGTGTATAAAAAAATGGGCTGGGGAGTTAGTGATCTGAGAAAAGTAAGCATAATTTTAACAACACCACCCCCACAATGCTCTTGCAAAAAAAGAGGAATGCATTTCTAAAATGCATTAGCCTCAGCAGTGTTTATAAAATGGGATAATTCCATTCAGCAGTACTGTGACCTCAGTAGGAATAGACTGCCCAGTTTTGGGCATCACCATTTGAAAAAGATTTGTTATCCTGGAAAACATCCTGTAGAGAGAAACAGGAATAAAAAGAAAAAAAATTACATGAAGAAAAGTTGGGAAAACCACTTTAGTTATAGCAATGAATCTGTTTATATAGCTTTCCTCTCTTGTGATTGTAAATGGGAACAAATGGTTGAGTTGTCTCTCATAAGGCATTATTTCTCTTACTCAGTTTTACAAATCCGATTTTCTGGCAGACAAGCTTTTACTCTAGCAATAATGCTTAACTGTTCATCAGCCCATCTGTTTCTGCTTCTCCCTGTAGACTTGTACAGTTTGGCACCCAAACAAGCACTCAAATGCATGTGTTTTTGGAAGTCTGTCCTAGCCAAAAAGCACAAAAGTTGTCAATTCAAGTTGTATTACTTGAGAGTAACTTAACGTAGTTAGACAACTGCCAGGGGAGTATGGCACTAAATGACCAAGCTGGGCACCGTTTGGGATGTCAGCAAACCTTTGAACCTTTTGGTAGAAGAAAAATAGCTCTTCTGTTGTCTTCTCTTCTCCACCTGTTTCGTGGCTTGTTCTTGATGGGTGAAAGGTGAGGTGACAGGAGCCCTTCTAGCCAATCCAGCTGAATGTTGGATTTTAAATCTGAAATCTGCCAGAGAATTAAGCACTGGTTGCTTCAAGTGTCTGGAAAGCTTCCTTATAAGGGAGCAAATGCAGCAAACTGCTTGGGAGGTAGCTTGCTGTGGAGCAAGTCGCTACACAAATGGAGGGAGGATTACAAAACAGCTCTTGTTTTTCTTTTAGAGAGTTTGAAGTTTTGTATGCAGAAAGGGGAATTGCCCTATTGTCAGCTTTGGAGGAAAACACATCAGCCAAAAGAATGAAATTAGGGGAGCTCTATACCGTGGGGAATCTTCCTGAGTTTTAAGCAAGAAACTATACAACAAAGAACATATATCCTGAAGCTACTGTTGATCTTCTTGATAATTATGTTACTATTCTTGTTGTTTAAAAAGTTTCTATATCCTCTATGAATGAAAAAGGAAAAGAAAAGGGGTTTAGGCAGTCTCTGTATTTCCATACCATAAACCTTTCCTGTATTATATTTAAGTCAGATTGTACCTGTTTTGCTAAGGCTTGTGAGAGGAGAGATTCCCTGTCAGCATTGATGTGTATGAAGTCCGAAGTGCTGCTGTACTGTGTCCAGTTCTGGGCTCCCCAGTACAGCTGCTCAAGCATCTGGCAAAGGGCCATTGAGATGGATGGGGGACTGAGGACTCCCTCCTATGAGGAAAGGCTGAGAGAGCTGAGATCTGGAGGCTGCAAAGGAGGCCCATGCCAGGAAAAGGGCAGTGGGTACAGACAGAAACACAGGAGGTTCTGGCTGAACACAGGGAAGCACTGTGAGGGTGACCAAGCACTGGAACAGGCTGCCCGGACAGGTTTCGGAATCTCCAGCCTTGGAGATACTCAAAAGCCATCTGGATGTGGCAGCCTGCTCCAGGTGCCCTTTCTGGGCAGGAAGTTGCACCAGTTCATCTCAGGAGTTCCTCGCAACCTCAGTCACTCTGTGATTCTTGGATCACCAGCAGAAAAGATGCCTGTGAGCAGGGATTTGAGTGGCACTTGAAGGAAGGAAAAACATTATGAAGTGTTCTTATCTATACTCACTTTGCATCATGTAGGCCTGGGAACAGTAAGGTATGTACATTGAAAGTCAGAGTTTTCATAACTATAACTAGTTATCATAAATTATAACTAGTTATTATAAATTGTCTGACAAAAACATTTCTCACAATTTCTCTTTAATTTTACTGTATATGATTTAGGAGGATATTTTTGTAGTATTCTCTTTAATTCGTGCTGCTTCATTTTACATTGCAAAGATGAATAAATACTTTTCATGCTAACTAAAAACTAGCAGAAGACTCATTTATACACTTTTTCTCATCTTATTATGCTGCCTTTTTATAAATCTGATTTCAGTGCCCGGTTATTGTGTTTTATTGATACAAGGAAAAGAACTTCAACTGGAAAGCATAAAAGGGAAAAGGCATATCACTAACAGAATTCCTTCAACTTTCAACTTTCTGCTTATGTTTCTCAAGGTCCTTTGTTCCTTATCTGTTTGCCAAACTGTGGCAATTCAGTGAGTTGTGGTTTCAGTTTCTGACTGAATTTCCTTGTATCATGTTTCCTGCCGTTTTGGTTTCAGCTTCACACGGTAGACCACCTTCTCTAATAGACTGTTCCAACCTCTTGCAATCCTTGGAAGCAATAATTCACTGAGGAATTGGTGCAGCACAGGGATTTATGCCTCCATTACCATGTGTAACATTTAACATTTATTATTGCAAAAACAGTTTGTGCAAGTATGGCATAAATCTGAGACCCTCCAAGTACTTTATCAGTTGCCCCAAAGGCCCCTCCTTCCTTAGTTTCTCAGCCCCAGATTAAAGAGGGCGTCCTTCTTTTTGAGCTCTAGCAGCTTTTTCTCCCTGTGTGGCAGACTTGTAGGTTTTGGTATGTCTGGTTCTGTTTCCCAGCTGTCCATTAAAGGACTGCAAGACAAGAGAGCATGTGCAGTTCACTGATTTGCATCAGTACAGGGCTACAGCCTCTGCAGCAAGGGTTGTAAATCAGTTCCCATCAGTGCATTCTGTCCTGCATTCTGTGCAATCTCTTCTTCAGTGCTGCTGCTTCTTTTACTTCCAGCCATCTCAGGTGCTTGGAAGGGCTGATTGATTAAATCTGGTTTTATGTTGACTTGTTTCCAGGGTTTTATGTTGACTTGTCAATTCTCCTGCTGGTCTCTGGAGTGGTGAATTCTTCTCTGTGTATTACACAAAGTCCTTCTCCAGCTGTTCCATTCAGGTCTGGCATCTGGACCGGTGCCTATCATCTTATAGAGGTTAATAGCAAAAAGGAAAACGGAACAGAAACTGTGCACTTTTCCATCAGTGCATTCTGTCCTGCATTCTGTGCAATCTCTTCTTCAATGCTGCTGCTTCTTTTACTTCCAACCATCTCAGGTGCTTGGAAGGGCTGATTGATTAATGTTGACTTGTTTTATGTTGACTTGTTTCCAGGGTTTTTTGTTGACTTGTCAATTCTCCTGCTGGTCTCTGGAGTGGTGAATTCTTCTCTGTGTATTACACAAAGTCCTTCTCCAGCTGTTCCATTCAGGTCTGGCATCTGGACAGGAGCCTATCCTCTGATTGTGGTTAATAACCAAAAGTACAACTGAACAGCAGCTGTGCACTTCTGGTCTTGCTGCAGGCACAGGTTGTTCCATCCTGTACAACCAGTGTATAATCAGCTCATGCCATGGCTCCTGTGAACCTGTGGTGGCACTGTCCATCAGCACTCACTGCCTGCTTTCACTGTTCTACTTAACCCATTTGCTATTTTTTTTCCTGACAATTCATAACAGTGCTGAGCAATCTAGAATTTACTCTTTGAGATGGTCTTGAGTATAATGTACAAGTCTTTGAATGCATCCCTTTTACTTAGGAATAAATAGGATATATATTGCTGAATAAAAATGTTTTCCCCTTACAGCATAAATCAAGTGACAGTTGCTGTGGGACCACAACTGGGAAGATGTGTATTTATTTTTAAAGCCACTTTAAAGCTTATTTAAGCCACTTATTTCTAATCAATGAACCATTGCAAGCTTTTATCTTTTGTTTTCAGCACTCCTTCAGTTCAGAGATCCTGTTAAAAAGGCAGCTCAGCCAGCTGTAATGTGTTGTCACTACATTTAGTCGTGGAGATGAATGTACACCAGGCCAAGGAAGAGCTGTTCTCTGTTTTAACACACCCACTGGTGACCTTTGGTACAGTCTGACTCCCTCCCAAAGCTCAGTAGTGAATTTAAATGGTTGCTTCAGTGTATAAGCTTAGAAATCTCTTTTTTCAGATCTATTCAGGTAGAGCAGGAGGCTGTGTTGTAAGATACATCCCAAACCATATCCAGCAAATTCCCACAGCATCATCCTTGCTGACTCTATGATGCTTCACCCTTGAGAAGTGGGAACAGACTCTGACCTGCCTTTTTTTGCCATGTTAAAAAACCAAAGTAGTAAAATGAAAGTTATCATCAATCAAAAGTAGGCTGTGGGGACAAAAATGTGTTGTGGGCTTTTTTCTGAACTTTTGGTTTTCACTGGTTGATGGGCAGCTGAGTTGATTTTAAATCTACTACTGTCTACAGGGTTAAGTCTTGTTCTGCCTTTATTGATGAATTTAATAGAAAAATTAAACCCCTATTTTCTTCCGCTGCTGTCACAACTGCTTCAATAACCTCAAGGAGCTAACTGTGAAAACGTCTTTTTTTTTCAAACACATCAGTTCCCTGAACCTCACTGCACATTCTTAAATGTTAGTGTTTATACAAGTGACATGAGTAGCTGTGGGCTTTAAATTTCTGCAAGGGCATATCACCAGTCTGGGTTTAGACTGGATTAAAATGATACAGAATCACAGCCTTAATCCTTGAATGTTGTACATGAAGCATAAACATATACCAGTACCTGTGGGGACAAAGCATCATCAGTTAATGAAATTTGCCATTAAATTTATCACCACATTCCCTCCCACTGTCATTTGTGGCAAGGAAGACACTGCCAATTTTTCATTTTGTACTTCCATGCAAAGTTAATAAGGAATCCTGTGGCAAAAAGAGCACATCCAGGAATAGGAAAATGCTCTTGCATGCATCTAGAAGAATCTTTTAAAGGATATACAGCTGTAGTAGTTATTGCTACAAAAACAGTGAGGCTGGTCTTGGGTTTCTGAATACACATGATGGTCTTTGTATTATAATGGAGCTTTTCCAAATCTGTGTGTTCAGACAGCACTGCAAAACCTTGCATTACTTCCCTGACAAGACATAAATATTTCTGTGTCTAGGACAGATAAAGAAGTTTGAGGTTGTTTGCAGACAAGCATTTTGTGAAGGGCATGCTGAGTAAAGGAACAAAAAGCATTTCCTCTAGGTCACTACTGCTGTGATGTGTTCAGGTCACCTGAAGAACCTTCTGCTTCTCCAAAACAGGAGAAATATCAGAGCCTTTACCAGAGCTTTGTTTCTTCTCTATTTGTAGTTAGGAATTAATGTTACTGAGAGATGTGAGAGAGCAGTCAGTAATGAGAGCAGCATTTGGGAAGTGATTACTGATTTGTCATAGTGCACGGCACTACAAGGTGTAGTGAGGTATTGCATACAGGCAGGAGGATTATGGGTGTAAATAACCCCCATGTCTACTGACCTTTACATCGTGTTACAGAGTAGTTGATCAGACATGTATTGTTTCCTTGCCAAAAAATAAGTACTCTCCCAATGCAACGTAAGTTATTCAACTAAACGGGAGTTTTGGTGGACCTCCAGCAAAAAGGACTGTGTTCCTTATGACAGGTGGTTTTCTTGGCACCCTGTTAAAAGGTGAAGCAGGTCTGTTATTTTTTCTACAAAATCCAGTATCTGATACTGGCAATCCAGTTGATTATAAAAGAGTACATAGTGTCCTTGAAGAACCTTCCAGCATCAAGATCTTACAGAAGGAAAAGGTGTTACTGTCTTTTGTGGTTGTTCAATTAGTTGGGGTTTTTTTGTTTTTTATTTTGAAGGATAATGGATTAAGTGCAACATACTATATGTTTGGTACCTTATGGCCCTTTTCATGGTCTTAAATGCTAATCATGCCATCTGATAAGGCTATTGCAAATAGAGTTGCTGGATCCTTGCAGATAAAAGCATGTGGAAGATGCGTTTTATTGGTGTAATTTAGTTTGCAGGAGTTAGATCAGAGCCACTTCCTACAGACTCATTTGGATGCTTTAGTGTGAAATCCACCCAGGTAGAAAGCTCTGACATCCACTGATCTTTGTCAGATTTGGTGAATTAACAGCAGAGTTAGTTGGGAGGAAAACAGGATATGAGAGCTGCCCTCAAATCTGCAGCTAGTTACCTGCATGTTTCTGTGTCCAGCACCTGCCTTCCTAACAACTCTGTCAGAGTCTATTCTAGAGTTGGAGCTGTATCCTTCTTTCATTTCAGCTGCCAAAGGGTATGGCTGAATTTCAATATAAATAGATTGCAATTTCTGTGGACATGATAGTGAATTCTGTCAGCAAGAAGTGACAGGTTTACTTTGTACTGATGTTACAAGTTATAAAGAGACAAATCTAATATTAAAGAAGGAAATCTTGCCAGTTAAAATAAATAGGGATTGTCAGGTCCTAAAGTTCTGAATGTTGTCCACAATGGTCAAGTTTTGCCAATAATGTGTGCTTCATTTTCTTGAAGACTAGAACACCATTTCAGTATTCTAGCTTTTAAAAAAGTAGGTAACCCATAGATGGACATTGGACTTGAAAGTTTTGTTTTCTTTTAAGTTTTTCTTCTTAAGTGCTTTTAAGTTGCTTTTTCTGTTGTATTGAGAGGCATCTTTTTAGCTGCTATTTACAATGGAGAAATCAATTGCTAGAGAGGAAAATAGCTATTGCATCTTGAATTACACAGTATTTATGAAATGTCTGGGTGAGCTGTGGTAAGCAGCTGCAATGTGCTGAGATAGTGGATATCCAGTTTCTGGTATGGCACAAAATATTGCTGTGCAGCATGAGGACATCAGTTTCCTACAATGCAGAAAAAATGTGTTTCCGTGCTTCATTTTATGTTCAATTATGTCCTTTGTGGCACATAATAATCATGAGAAAACAGATGCCTGTAGATGATTTTATCCTAGTTTTTGAGTTTATTTACACACAGGAACCTGAAGTAGTTCAGTTGGGTGCGGAGCTGCTGCCGGTAAAGCTGGGGAAATGAAGGGGTTGCTGAGGCGTTTCTTCCTGTATTACTGTTTTGTTTATATTCTGCTGTTAAAACATGGTAATCTCTGTATGTAATTGGCAGTATGCCTAGTGAGCAGGCAGGATATTTGTTAAAAGGAAAATAAATCACAAGATACGGCTTTATAATGTATACAAGTAGTATGCATGCCCTACTGAGGGATCAGAATACACTGTGTTAATACATAGGACATGACAAAGGGGCACTTTCTGTCCTAAGCACTTTATGAATGAGGTGTAAGAGTTAACTTCCACATATGATAAGAATTGCATTTCATAGTACATGCCTTGGCTCAGGCCTTCTGTGCACATACTTGGCAGCGCCCAAATGTTACATACACACAGTGTGAAACTGCTCCATTACAGACCTTGAGAAACATGTGGCTGTTGGTAGCAGTTATGCTGGATGCTGCATCAAAGCCCTCTTTTTTTCAGAAAGATGGGAATTTGGTGGACTCAGACTTGTGCACTAAAACCAATGCTTAGAGCTGCAAGACAAATTTGTACCTGATTACTGTCTGAATGGAATTGGTTATTTAAAATTGGTTATTGGCTGTTTGTTTCTGCTTGTTTACAGGTTGCACGGCCGATACCATGAAATGGCACCAAACGTTGTGCCCATGGACTATACAAAGGACCCAGATGTTAAACTACCTATGCAGCTTATAATAAACATGCCTGAGCTGAAGGTATCACTTTTGACTGCTTGCAGTCTGCTTGCAAACTGTATCTTAACTTCTCTAGCTCGTTTGCCAGACCTTTTTCCAAAATTGATAGAAGTGCTGTGGCATGCTAAGGTCTTCCCCTTCCTGTTATTGTTCAAGGGCAAAACCAGCCCCAGAAACTGGAAAAATATTCAGGTGAATGTCTTTCTTGCAGAGATAGTTAGGGTAGATGTTAAAGGAAACAAATAGGAAATAAATTTAGCAATCTTTGCTTGTTGTGTATATCCCCTGCAGAAGACATGCACCCACAGAGATCTCTGTGTGAAGAGCTGGTTAGAAATCTGAAGTTCTTATCTCAGTCTGTAGGAAATTTGCTAGCAGTGTGCAGAATATTGCTAATAAAAAGTAAAGGTTTTCCCCTTTTTTATCAGCTACCTGAGCACAATAAATATTATTTTTCTTAATTATCAGGAATTTTCATTTTCTTGGGGACATTACATGGTAGGAAGTGGAGAAACAGTCCATGTAACTGCAAATGAGAGAAGCAGTAGGTGTAATGCAATCACTGCAAAAAAAAATTGAGACACTATTTGTTTTTATTCTCAGTTCAACAATTTAATAATTTATGATTTTAACAGGACATATGTGGAGTTTTAGCATTTATTTTTAAACAGTTAATTGAATTATGATGTGTTTTGTCACACAGTCTATTTTTAATGTGTGCTAGTCAATTGATGTCTATAAATTACTATAATGTGGAAATAATTATGTGTTCAATCTGATAGTTGCATGAAGCATTATTAAGCTTTTTAAGAACAGTGCTATAAAACCCTTGTAATTGATGGCTTTCCACTTAATGATCTAGAAATTCTTCTTTTGTATTATATTTTTTTCAAATATCTGATATTTTACAAGCAGAAGCTGTGCTTTAAACATTCAGTTGTAGAGATGCTATGCCAACATGAAGTGAAAAACATTTGAATTAGATTTCAAGTTGAAGTTCACAGAGCTCTTTAATACCACACTTGCTGTATGTTTAATTCTGGGATAATATAATTCATTGAGCAAGAAGCATAATTTGTTAATGTATGCATATTAAAAAGTATTCAACCAGCATTTAATATAAATGGAAATATTAAACACTTGCAAGCATTTAATTCAATAGAAAACCTTGGGAAAATTTTTATCCTTCAGTGATTCTTCAGACTCTGATTTGGCAGATGCCTGTAGACAGCTTGGGTTTCTGAAGAAGCTGAGAAATAATTTAGAATTATTTTTCACAGTAAGTGTGGGCTTTTTCAGCAAAATATATTTCTGCTTTTTCTGATGGCATCAGTATTCCTTAGGGTTTATGTTATCATTTCTGAGATCTTGATAGCACAACATGAATCCTTTGGCACAGTTCTTTGACTCCTCACACTTTAACTGCCAGACAGCTGAGAGTTGCTTTGTGGCAAATCAAGGCTAAGCTTAGAAAAGGAAGTGAGAAATTATGATCACACAGAGTCTTTTTGGCTTCAGTGATGGAGGATTGAGCACTTAAGGAACAGCTCACTCTATGAGAACTTTCAAGATGGAGGGCCTGGTACTGAAGCAGACATACAAATCAGAAATTTTATACAGGATCGAGGATCATATCATGCTAGCTTAGCAAACTTAATGGTGATGATAAACTTCCTAAGAGGCTTTCATGTATGAATCAGAATCATATATGGATCATAATCTATCTACTGGCACCACAAATCCGTGAGGCTTTCTGACCCTGCTTTAGAAGATGTCTCCAGGTAATGGAACTTGACTTTATGAAAGTAATAGGACAAACTCAGTGTTGAATTTTATACAAATTCTCTCTCAGGTCTCATAAGCCTGTGGAAAAACCTTAGAAATATTGGTTGTAAACCACTCATTTGATTTCAGGAATTCTGGGAGCTCACAGAGAAAAGTGCTTTCAATAGCTACTGAGCTTGTTTCATGTAAAATCCCAGTAAGAGAAGACTAGGTGATATTCCATAACTTTTTCAAGGCATTGACACTAAAAGACGTTAAAATGCTTGGGATCTTTGTTATAAACTGTGGTCCGTCTTGCTCATGAAGCATCTTGCGGGCACCTGTGCAGACAGGGGTGAGAGGGAGAGAGTCTTTCCTCAAGAGTTTATGTTTGAATTGACCTAGGTACTAACTTCAGCTGATACACGAAGAAAAAAATCTTTAACCTTTGCAACTTGACCAGACTGCCTAACAAATCATTATGGTGTTTTCTTTCTTTGGTGAATTTTCATCAAGGTGAAGACAAAGACAACATTTACTTCTTAAAATAGAAATAAATGACCTAAATGTCTATTGAATTCTAATAAAATTAGTGTTAATTTCAATGCACCTGGCTTTTTTCATATACACATTACATTTCTAGTTACTGGCAATGTTGAGCTCAATGCTACTGCAGGTTCTGACAAACAGATAGAATCAATAATACACTTTTCTAAATTAGATTTTGGTAATATAAAGAAAGATCTTTACCTCATGCATTAAAGCTTTGAGCCAGGTGTTTTGTGTTTCAAGGGGAAAAAAATGCTGATGGTCATTCTCTTTAATTGGTAATGAATTATTCACTAAACCCTGATTCTGAAAAGTTGAAAGTTGGGACAAGAAATAAATAAATAAAGGAGGAGAAGGTACTTTCAGTTGATTAGACCTACCATGACACTGAAGTAACAGAGCTACTTTACTCCGTCAGTTTCATTGCAGTCTCTGTTCTCTAATTTTCGCAATTTTGGTTACACAGGCACCAGTCTAATAAATTAACTTCGGGGCATCTGGACACCTGTGAGATGGCAGTAATTAATATAGCAAAACTGTAGCCATGATATGGACTGCTCAGTGTGGGACCAGGGAGAAAGCAAAAGCGATATTTTTTCAAATTAAAACTGATTTTGGTCACATTATCACTGTCTTTGCCACAGAGCTGCAGGTGGGAATGTAACCTGGTGTCAGAGAGCCCTGTGGTTGGCAGCAGTGGTGGGTGTCCATACCCACATCCCAGACTGTCTCTTTCCTAGATTGTGGGCTCTCTGGGGGCAGTGCAGAGCAATCCTTCTCTCTGGAGCTGAGCAGCAAAGGGCTGCTGGAAGGGAACCACTTTTGTTTCCCTCACTTTACAGTCTGTTGCTTCCTGCGTTTTGGCTCACACAGGAACTTCATTGATCCTTGCAGGCCTTGCCATAAGCTGCACTGGGGACATAGGCAGTTCCTAAATCCACTAGTGAAACAGGAGGGGCAGCAGGCACAGGAATCAGCCAGGAGCCAGCAAGGACACACAGGGAACAGCAACTCCATCTCACATTTCAGAAACAATGTTAGCACCCTATTTGTAGTAAGTTTAAAAGTGAATGCAAGCGAGTTACTTCAAAATAAAAATACTTTCCACAGTGTTAATAGGATGAGGTTTTAGAAGTGATTTCAGTGAGTCTTCAGGTTCAGAGCTTTCTGTGCATCGGGCAATGACACCTGGGCTTTCCATGGAAAGGGCAATGGATAATGCCGGAGCAGGGTGACCTTCTCAAGCCCCAGCCCTACTCTGGCTGATTTTTGCCCCCAGCTCATCTCAACATCCTTGCTGCATTCTGTTAGTTGTTCCTAGTTATGATGGGATGTTTCACTCCCTTCAGAGGAGCAAAACTTTACTCTGACCACTCTCCTTGCTTCTCTGAAGTCTCTTTATCTGAGCATCTCAGCTGTGTGTGCTCTAAATGTCATTGGCGAGGGCTGTTTTGTCTGCATCCAGCCCCAGGCCTGTGCCTCCCTGGTGGCCTGCAGCCTTGTCTGTACACTTCCCTGTCACAGTTAGGAATCAGTTCTTGTCACAATGCCTTATCTTCCCAAGAGCTGCTGGTATGTTCTGTAATATTTAAGCTATTCTGTATTAGCTTAAATATACAGTTTAAATGTACAGCTTGAATCTTTGGTTTTTTGGTTGTTGTGACTTCAGTTAAGAGTTGTTGAATTTCATATGCTTCTGCTTTCTGACAGAACAAAATGGTCTTTTCCATTAAGACATAAATGTACCAGTTTAGCTCTGTCTTAGCCTTGGTTTCTCCAGGAATTTCTTAAACAGTACCCTGCAGGCACTGCAGAGAAGTTTGATGACATTAATATAATCATAGACACATAAAACCCGAGGTATTAATTTTGAGGAAGAAGAAAATTAAGAAAAAAACCCTGCAAAGAAACTTGCTTTTTTCTGCTCCAGGGACAATTTGCTGTTGCACTTATTATGCTTCCCTTCTGAAGCAGCAGTCTTTCCTGTGGAGCTTTGGTAATGAACAATTTAGCTACTTTTATATTAATGTTTGTCTGATAGCAATTTTTTTCCCCTCTGTTTTGGAATAACTCCTGAAATTTGAGAAAGGCTAGTTTTACCATTGCTGAAAAAGTCCCGATTAAAATATCCAAAAGATTCTGACTTGCAATAGTCTGCAAAATAGACTGCTTTGTGCTTTTAAATATATTCTCTGAAGTCAGTGGGGACTTATGTTCAAATACAAAAGGGAAAGTCATTATTGTGTTTCTGTGGGTATGAAAATTAAGCAGCATTTTGTAATGACTATCCAGTATCTCCAACTTATCTTGACCTATCTTTGAAATTCATTTGCAACCTCGTATTTCCAAAATGCAGTCAGCCCGTGGGAATAGGATTGGATGTTTGAAATTACTTCTTCAAACTACAAAACAGATAAGGCAAAAGGCCACCTGAGTACTTTCCTAGAGTCTGGGATGGAAACTAATGGACAGAAGAATGTAATAGGTGATTTAGCTGCAGTGCCAGGAGTAAACCCTCAAACAGTTTGATAGAAAACTTAATGATTGTGTTTTATTGTAAGCTGTTAAAGGTCTGAATGTTGGAATAAATGCTGTGTGAGATTTTAAAATGCACAGAAACACAATTATCTGAGTAAAAGAAGTGTTCCTTACAAAGATGGATTGCATATTTAGGATTCTCTCGAGCCACTACAGCAACAACATCAATCTGCAAAACAGCAGAGTTGTTTTTCGGTTGTAGTAATTCTTTACTGTTTCTGTCTCCCCTCTCATTTTTGTCGTGAGACTACAGAAAAAGCTTTTAAAGACAAGTGGAAGTTTCTAGTTTTAAAACGAGTATTTTTTTTCAACAATTAGTGCTTATGGGAAAGCAATCTAGGAAAAAACAATATAATTTTCCCCTTTACTCCCTTCCCCCATGTCTCTTCCTTTAAATATGATGGAACCCTAATCTGTGCTCTTTAGAGTAGAGGTAATGAAATTACAGAAAGGATGTGAAAAGTATCTGTGAAGGTAAGCTAATACTTTCCATTGTGTAAGCCACAGATATACTGCCTGAAGACACATAATATGAGAAAGTTAAAGGAAAGAAATCAATATGAGGAAAGATTTTATTTTTCATTTTGGTTTTAGAGATCCATTTGGCAAAGAGTTACTTAAGAAGTATGCTTAGGTTCATTTAATTCTTTCTTAATTCATCTGTATTTTCAAAATCTCTGACATGCCGAATAAATAACTCATCTTATGCAACTGCAATATGCTTATTGAGTCAGTGAGATCCTGCCCCAGCTTTTCTAAAGCACAAAGTCCTGGCCTTGATATTCACTGCTGATAGGGATATTTGCATCTCTCTGCTCCTGGTTTGTTACCCAATGCTTCCTCTAAGATGTCAGTTTACTACTGTTACCATGACACTTACTTCTCATGAGGTTTGTTCCAAAGAAAGCTATACAGTATTTTAGAACTTAAAAATCAATTTCTAACATGTTTTGATGTCCATTCTCAATTATTAAACATATAACACACCATTTTTTTAGTGTGCTTTTAGGAAGAAAGTGGACCTTTTCATATATTTCAGCTCAAATGAATCTTACTTTGGCTTATTTATAAACTGGCAGTTTGAAACAATAGAACCAATTGTTCCTCCCTGCATGTCTGTATGTGTAAATCCCACAAACAGGTAAATGTGTATAACCACAGGTAAATCCCACAAACAAGTAAATGTGTGTAACCACAGGTAAATCCCACAAACTGGGATTTAATGTGTAAATGTGTATTCCACAAGTATTTCCAGGCATTTAAGTGAGATACTTTAACCTGAACAGTACCCACAGATGCACACCTGCTGTACCTACACATCATTCATGAGACATGAGTGATCACTACATATCCTTTTACAGTGATGTTCTCTCAGCCATCTGCCTGGGTCTGGGGTATTATTTTCATTCTCCTGCTCTGGAGAGACGTGACCCTCTTGCTTTTTCAGGCTACTTTTTTTTTTCAGGAATCCCTCTTTTCTATTGTATTCAATTTAATTTGGTTTTATTTGGCTTGGTTTTATCTTCATCTAAACAGTGAACTCATTAATCTCATATCCTTTGAAATCTGTAGGCCTGTTCCCAATTATGGATTCCTTCAGTCATCCAACCCTGCAGGGGAATCTGTATTTAGTATTGACTACTTTAATGGGCTGTCATTTCAGCCTAAGGAGGCTGTGTGGTCCCTACTTCACCTGTCCATAAAAACAGCCTTGTTCCTGGTTGTTACTTTTTTAGTCACCACAGTTATGCCAAAAATGTATTCTATAGATGCTTTTGTTCTATGTGTGAATTATCAAGAAAGAATTCAAGTAAACTGAAAAATAACATTTTTCTGGTCATTTGTCTCTCAAATATATCTGGTTTTTGAAATTTCATTTAAAATAATAGGATGGTTTCTGAATACCTGTTAAGTAATTAAATTTACAGGTGGAAAAAAAGAAATTAAATGGAGATATGCTTGAACTTCTGAGCTTTCACAGTACTGCTTCTTTAAAAGCCAAATAAAATGCTGCATGCATAGTAAAAATAGTGAACCTGATATGCCACCACCACAGCTGTATATATTTATGCATCAATATGTTAATCAGTGTCTTGGCTTCAGATAAGATCTGTAACACAGCTTTAATGAGATGCTGCTCACAGCCCAAGTGATATTTGTGTTCTATTCATATTCAACTGAATTGAATTGATTTTCCAAGTTTTATTGATACCGCTACAAATTAGTCTTGGGATTTTGTATAGCTCTGAGAAAGATTATGGGTTTTTACTGTAAAAACATTTGGTTTGGATTTCATAGTGATGAAGCAGGTTTTCTTATGCTTGCTTGTGTGTTTATGGTTTTAGAATATTGTCTTATTCTAAGGTGCTAGAAATGACTTCAGGATCATCTCCTGTGGTGATTACATTTCATTTAAATCTCATGAATTTTTAGTCAGACCAACCACAGGTGTCAGTGAAAGTAAAAGGCCAGAAGTGGTACTATGCAGCAGCAAGGACTGCTGAAACTTCCTGCTAAAGCATGCAAATGTAAGTTTTTTGATGCATTTTTCAGGGAAAAAAAGAAAAAAAAATCTTTAAAGAGCCAACTGTGCAACTAAATATTCATTAGCAGGGAGTCTGCAGGGTTTTCATCTTCCAAATACCAGTCTGTGTATGTCTTTTACAGGAGAACCCCTTCAAAGAAAGGATTGTGGAGTCTTTCTCAGAAGATGGAGAGGGAAGCCTGAGCTTCAATGACTTTGTGGATATGTTCTCCGTGCTCAGTGAAATGGCTCCCCGAGAGCTTAAAGCAATCTATGCCTTTAAGATTTATGGTACTATGTGGAGGGGCTCTGGTGTGCTTTTTGTGTTTGGAGTAAATGAGTGGTACACTTGGTGATCTTTGGTTCTTCTATTTGTTTAGATTTTAACACAGATAACTTCATTTGTAAAGCAGACTTGGAAAAAACCCTCAATAAGCTGACCCGGGAAGAGCTGACAGCAGAGGAAATCACTCTGGTTTGTGAGAAGGTGATAGAAGAAGCTGACATGGATGGTGATGGGAAATTAGGATTTGCAGATTTTGAAAACATGATTTCCAAGGCACCAGACTTTCTCAGGTATTATTTTAAGAAAAAGAAAGTCTCTTGCATACTTGCAAATATTGTCTTAGGATATCACTGTGCAGTCTAATACAAGAAGTGTCAGACGTAAGTATTTTACTAGAGAACTGTCTAGGGGATGGCTTCTTACCTAACTCAGTTTACTTTTCCAGTTCTCTCCTAATTTAAGACTAAGAGCTCAATGACCTTTCATTATCACCTTTCCTGCTCCTCCACCTGTCTTGGTGCAGTTCAGGAAAATATTTTCATCCATTATGAGCTCAAATTCAGCCTGTAGCAAGGATTAAGCCTATAGCAAGGATCCTAGCTGTCTGCATAGGAATGTGTGTAAATATTGTATGCATGTTACAAATAAACATAGAAAGACATTGATCTCTTTGCTGTGAAAGTGTTTTTTGAAGAACTGTACAGTGTCCTGCAGAACACAGAACAGTGTTTCTTTCACGAATGAAACTTCTAAGGAAAGATGTTAAAAGTGATTCAACAATACAGCAGGAGCACAGTGAACCTTGAGAAACATCAGCTTCTGGAGAGGAGACATTCAGTGTGAATGTCTTTTATACATTTCAGGTCTTCCTTAACCAATCACGTGTATCAAGAGAAACCCCTTCAGAACAAGATATGTATCATCATTATGGTGAGGCTCAGCTCAGTAGGTATTCTAACATTTTGTTTACAGATATTTCCAGCTAAGAAAACATTTTCTTTATACTGCTATCCATGTAGAAGCTGCTGGGATCAGGTAGGGTTTCCTTTAATCAATCAAAAGGCTGTGCTGCTCCTACAAAGCTGGTAGAGAACAGTCATCAAACGTGAAGAATTGAAGGCAGATCTGAAGATTCAGTAGAAGCTGCAGTTTTGGAAGTTTCCTGTGCCATGACTGACTTTACTGCTGTGTTGTAGAGGCTTGCAAACTGCTGACTGAGAATTCCAAGGTGAGGATGCTGTGCAGTCATTTCCTGAGAAAGTTGCAGAGAGGAATGTTTGCCAGCATAGCCACTGGAATGACTGTCACAATTATTTTTCTTTTAAGTTAGGTGATGTTTTGGGAAGATGAGGAAAGGGGTGAAAATCACTGAGTGCTGGGTATTCAGCAGGGCAAGATGATGAGTAAAAAGTGGAATGAAGTGAGATGTGTATTATAGATTAGGTAAGAGAAATTGGAGAGTACCAATAAAATCAAAGGATGAGGCTACCAAGTATTGAAAGACTGAGTGTCCAGTTGCTCAGTTTAAACACATGTACTTGGATCTGTGTCTGTGATAAGATGTCTCCTTCAGGTTTAAGATGGCAATGTGCATATTTAAGGTAGATTGGCATCCCTGGCTTCCAGAGGAATCATAACTTGCCCCTCCATTCAGGTTCAGGAGTTTAGCTGGGTTATGGAATTCATCTCTCAAGTCCTCAGGCCTAAGAGCTCCTGGTGATAGACAGAAGGGTCTCCTTCACCTCCTAACCAAAACACTGGTTTAGACCCTCTGTCCAGGCAGTTTCTATATAAAGGCAGCTTCTGTGGGGATAACAGTACAAAGAAAACCAGTTCCTAGCTGGAAACATATGTAAAGAAATATTAGAATCCACTGAAGAATCTGATGTTTCTTATGGTTCAGCAACATGTGTCTTTGAAGCTATATTGAAAAATGAGAGTGTAATGGAAAAAAGCCTCAGAGTTGAGAATGTGTAGGTTCTCTGGTTTGGTTTCTGTTTTGAGTTAACAGCTGCAGGAAAAGAAAGCGACAGGGTCATAAGACTACTTTTATCCAAACTGATTTACATGGAAGATTTGATACCTCTGCTTACTGTGGGTTACAGTTCATTTTGTCTGTAAAGGTATTTTATTTTCTTAGGACATTGTAGTTGTATTTCTTCTGTATGCACTGCATCACAGACTGACATACTTGTTAATACTGAACTTCCTGTTCTGAGGAACTTATTCTAATTTTTTTAATACAGGGTAAATACTGCATTCTAAAGAGAGATTTGACTTTTGGAATGGGATTCATTGACGTTTAATGCCACAATAGGTTCACCAAAGTGGGACTGAACATAAATAAGCACTCTCTGGCAGGAGCCAGTACCTGCCAGCATGTGATAGACTTTGTGACATGGGACAAGAATCCAATTCCTGTAGCTGATCTGTCACCACCAAAAGCCCAGTTCATTGTGCCACAACAGTCTTGGACACATTACCTATTCATTTACTGAAACAATGCTTTCTTACATCTTTGTGAGTTGATCTCCAGCTCTCTTCCTAGCCTCTCATTTTCTTCTGAGTTTTCAGCTGTAATGGTTGTCTTAAATGATAGCCTTAGGCTGTGTGCAGCCAAAGGGCAGGCAAGGCTGTGCAGCTTCACTGGGTAGTCTACTACAGAACTTGCAAAGCACAGGAAGTGTCTGAATAGCAGATCACCAACCCTATATGCCAGTGGGAAACTGAACTAGCTTCTTACTATTGCAAAAATATATAAAAACATGCTTTCACAAAACTAACTGGCCATTTGAAATCTTAAGCAGACATGTGGAAGAAATACCAGCCCATCAATGTCCAGAGGCAGTCACAATTTCATTTGGTTTTGCTTATCTCCACTTTTTGTGCCCAGTTGAATGCATTCCAGAATTTTAATTCAAGTAAGCCCAAGAGTCTAATGATTTACACTTCCAGCTCCTCAGCAACTGTGAAAATAGAATGCCTAGGAACCAAAGCAATAGCCACATAGAAAATGATTGCCAGCGAGCCATTGCAGACGCTGGGTAACTGCACTTTGCAGGGATTTTGCTGTGAACCTATGGGCAGTCAATATTTCTGAACGTCTGATCCCAGATTATGATCCTGGCATGTGGTATGAGAGCCTTCTAAAAATGCTGAATAACTTGCAAGGCCCCAGATGATTTTTATCTGTAGTAAAGGATTTTTTCTGATCTTTTCCTTTTGTCCCTAGCAAAACCACCTCTTCATATCATAAAAGGAGGAAATATAGGATTCCAGTTAGGTTTTATCCCTGGCTCTGCCATTGCTTGAGCAGGTGATCTGTACAAAGCCATTGAACACTTTTTTCTCTCTGCTCTCTTACGTGGGACCAGTGCTCACCCAACTTGTGACAAACGTTGAGAACTTTCATTCAGCTGCAAATGATCATCATCAGCAGCATGAGATTTGAAGTTACTGAGGAGGAATATCTTTACTCTGTGGAAAACCTTTGAAGGCCAGATTCTAATAGCAATATTCACTCAGGTTTTGAAGCATGTGTTGGGATTTTTTTAAGCTGTCACATTATCACACCTACTTAACATACACAGCAGGCATTGACTTTGACACCATGATCCAGGCTTTGACCTGCTATGAGCTGAAGTTCATCCACTCTAGGTTGACTTATTTTCCTTATCCCAACTCTCCTTTCTCAAGCCTTTACTTAATGACCCTGTGTAGGTTTAATCTCCTACAGACAGCCTTTGCCAGCTTTGTGCTGCTGTCAGGCAAATGAAGATGCAGTAAAGTCTGTTGCTTGATTTGCACTGCTGTCGTTGAGGAATTTTTTCCAGACTAGAAGAAAACACTGTTAATCATTAACCAGGGAATGTCTATGCAGTTGGCTGTTATCCCAGAAGCTGAACTAAGCTGTAAATGATAATGACAGTTACTAGTTCAGAAAATTGGATCCCAGTAGTTTTATTTCACTCAAAATCGTTATCATTAAGAAGCTGCTTGTAGTTTAATGGAAGCATTGGCAGATTGAGCTGGCACTAGCTAAGTGTTCTGTTCTACAAGAATGGTTACGTTTTCTACAGGAAATTGTTTTATAAATCATCCTGGAAGTTTCCGCTTATTTGAATGCCTGAGGGTGAAGCCTATTGCTGTAGCATTAGGTAATGGCATTTGAGAGGAATATGGCGTTAGTAATACCTGGAAGCTGCCAGAACCAGACAGGGAAATAACACATTAAAAGTTGGAAATGCAGTATTTTTGAAACTGTTGTGGGCCTTTACCCAGCCATTAGTGGATTTTGTGACCCCAGTCCTACCAAATGCTGAAGCAAAGGAAACTCCCTTATAGGGAATGTGTATCTCATAAGACTGTTGCAACATGCAGATTAATTAGTTCTTAGTTTCTTTGCTAAGCATCTCTTGCCAATTAGTCACTAGCTCTAGAGCTAGTGACTAATTGGCAAGAGATGCTTAGCAAAGAAACAGTGGAAGGAAATAATTTTTGTCAGTATTTTTTCAGAGTATTTTAGGTGTTTCGTAGTAAAAAGCTGACACTGATAAAAATAGAAATTTTTCTAATAAATTAATTTCCAGTTAGGTGGATTTGTGTGGATTTTTTTGGGGAATCATGCCTCAAATGTTTTCACATACAATGTGATGGATTTTTAGCTCCTAGATATTACCTGAATGGTAGTTAAATTTTTAACAGCTTGGATTTATATAGTCTCTAGACATTTCTTGAATTGTGAACAAGATATTTATAAATATTTTATTTAAAAAACCCTAGTGCCAGTAAACTATTTGCATCACTATCTGCTTTGTCTCACAGTGCTTAGGCTGGTGTGCCAGGCTGCTATATAGCGTATCTTTTACTGTCACCCAGATTGAATAAAGTCCTAGAGACAAGGTTCCTAGGGACCATAGTGAATATGAAATTTTATCTCCTCCAAATACATGCCACAAGCTTCCTTTAGTGAATTTCTGATTCAAATCTAATAGCTGTAATTAAGTTAGAGTATTCTTTTGGTAAAACAAAATCCAAAGAGTGTGCATCCAGAAAGTCTGCAGCCTCTCAAATGTTCCAAAAAGGTTTTCTTTCAGTGTAGGCAACAAACTTAGAGAATTTACATGCAAAACCAATAATTTACATAGAGAATTTGCATACAAATAATTTACATACAGAATTTACATACAAAAATAATTTCTTCTTATTTCAGTCAGTCAAGAAAAACAGTTGATACTGTTGTGACATTGAACAGATTGCTGCCTATAGACAGTGGAGTTTCAGCATACCCTCTTTAAATTGTCTCTTCCTGTCCTGCTGAGATGCTCGGGAGCTCTTCTGAAGCCTGGTGGCAGTTGTAAGCCATGCTGCTTGCCTGTATTAAAGAGCAAATAGAGGGTAACAACCAGAACTTCTTTGGTCTAACAAGAAAAACAACTCTACCTGTCTAATTTGTCTTGGTTAGGACCCAAATACTGTGCCATAGCAAAAAGTACCATTGGGAAACACTTAGCACTGCTCTAATGCCTTAGTTTTGGCTTTTATATTTTTCAGATTCTGTACTACTTTAGTGTACTGAGCGTCATACTATGGGATGCTAA